CGAGTCTTAAAACTATCAGGTTCTAAGAAAATAAGGACACATCAGTGGTACACTCCTTATCCCTGAGCCAGAGTAGGCGTGGCATTTGAACATGGCACGGAACTGGTTACTCGTGGAATATTCCAGTCTGGGACAACTGTCATCTTGTCTTGTTGGACAGAGACACGACAACAATTGTGTCAAGATGAAAATATCTCACCAGAAGCATAGACACCTTCAGGTTAAGTTGAAACATGCGGCCACGCCTACCCGATCTCAGGGATTTCGCGTTGGGAGATTCAGTCGGGGATTAGCAAAAATTGATCATAAAATTGTAAAAGATCCCAAAAGTGCTGAAAAACGGGGACTCCTTGCAATATGCTTAACAGAGCTGGTTTTACAAAAAAGCTGAGTGATGAGCAAAAGTTCTGGCTCAGGCCAAGGTACAACATGGGGTTGAGCGAAGTGACGGTACGACAAATGCGACACTCCTCTCTCCCTAAACGCGTCTTGGTACGACAGGCTTCCCAGCACTGCTAATTAAAACTGGCGCTGAATATAGCAGGTTATTTTTTTGGTATCTCTTTTGGAGGGCGGGTACCCCTTTTAGAAACAACTGTAACTTTCACATAAGAGAAGTATTTGTGAGACGAAAACATCCTTATGAAGCACTGGGGTCATTATTTCGTAATGGAACGGAACTTTTTTTGAACGTTTTCCATTTCGAAATATACCTCTGACGGGTTTTTGATGGGAGAAATTTCACACCTGCCCGAGCATAGGGGAAACACCATCGTAGAGGGCTTCGGTCAAAATGCTTCAATCGAGCAGACTCGAGATCCAGAACGTCCCGAGAGTCGCGGTTTTCAGTAAAACGTGACAATGGACGCTGAAAGTGATGGTGACTTCACCGGTGAGGACAGCGATGTGATTGCGGAGAAATCCAATGTGAAAACGATGGATGTGCAAAACACTGCGGTTGTAGTGGATGACATCAAAAAAAGAGGTAAATGACATCCCTCGTAGCTAATGCTTTTGAATCGATCAGATCAGACTCAGTCGCTAGGCAGTTTTAAATTAATATCGAAAGATGACATACAAAGTCAATGTGGGGAGAAAGCGGAAAAAATCATCATACATGCTAATTTTTAACCCCTCTCTGTTTTTTTTTTTTTTTTTTTTTTTTTTTTTTTTTTTTTTTTTTTTTTTTTTTTTTTTTTTTTTTTTTTTTTTTTTTTTTTTTTTTTTTTTTTTTTTTTTTTTTTTTTTTTTTTTTTTTTTTTTTTTTTTTTTTTAATACCCTCTACTGAACCTACCTATATTTACACGACCTCTCTCGAACGCATTTTTACGAGCAGAGGGTGAGCAAACGGACGAGATCATCCGTTCAGGCGGGGGTATTAGGCTGTTCTTCAAGGTAATCATCACAGGCCATTCCTCGCTTGCGCCGCGCGCAATCACTGGGGTATAAAATGACCTTACCGACCATTGCGGTTCGCGTGCTCCCTGATACGAGTTAATTCGGGATTTTTCCGCTTGTTTCGCTTCACTACTAAGCACTGACCACCCGCTTTCCAGCTAAGGTATTATAAGCCCAGCCACAAGTCACCATTTTCGAACATTTTTTGTGACTTTGACATTTCAAGTGAAAGCTTCGAAAGAAAGAAGGTACACTTCCAGATACGGCGATTTCGAAGCTGTGAAAGGCGTGACGTTCCATGTAAAAACCGGTCAATGTTTCGGATTGTTAGGAGTGAATGGAGCCGGTAAGACGAGCACATTCCAAATGCTCACTGGAGAAAACGAAATCACAGAAGGAGATGCGTTTGTGAACGGATGGAGCGTAAAATCTAACTGGAAGAAGGTAAAGATTTCTTCGATGAGCATTATTCCCTCATCTCGATTAGCATTCCCTCATAAATGATTTTTTCGCGTCGAAAACGAGCAAGGGCAAGCGTTCCTTCAGTAATAGCCAGTTTCTACAAACGTTGTCCAAGTAAGCTTGAAGGGATTCACACTCTACTACTCCTCCATCCTCCGCGTTTAGTGGTAGGTCCTTCAAGGCCTTATCACGTCCCCGTTCTGCTCGTGAATACCGCCAGTAAGGTGGTGCAAAAGAAGCTAGAAAAGGACTCCAATAACTTGACTCAGTTCTCAGAGCTGCTCTGAAACATAATTTATATACTCTTACCCTCTCCTTGAGGCGGAGGTAGTGTAGTGACAGGTGGCACACTTTCCGCGCGCGCAGTCTGGGGGTCAAATCCCGCATCGGCTTCTGCCCAAGCCAATCAAGCCTTCTACCCAGTAGATAGGTCGGATTCGTCTGGGAGGATAAGAACGCTGTACTGGCTTATCAATAGGTTGGCCCCGCAAGTAATTGTATAGGCTGCATCGCATACAATAAGCCACTACGATTATGAATGGAAGTAGAACGCGAGCCACGTCTTGAAAAGGGATTGATCAATGGCGAAGACTTTATCCTTTTCTTTATTCCACTCTCCACATTGAGCGATACTAGAGCATTTCCTTGTAAAAGACCCTATCGAGCTCACAAAACGCTACCCGCAAAGTGAAATGGAGAAGAAACAAGCGAAAATCTATTATTTAATCGTTTTAGGCCGGTGCTAATATAGGCTATTGCCCACAGTTTGATGCTGTGCTCAAAGAAATGACTGGAGAAGAGACGCTGTACATGTTTGCACGAATTCGTGGGATTCCGAAGAAGGAAATTCCGGAAAAGGTTAGGTACAGCTACCATATTCCGTCATATTCTACACTTTATCCCTAAGATGGAGTAAGCGTGGCATTTGAACATGGCACAGAATGGGCTACTTGTGGGTACTTCAGCTCGAGACAACTGTCATCTTGTTCAATGCTGAACAGAGACATGACCACACTTGTTTCAAAATGAAAACATCTCTCCAAAATCACAGTCACCGCCAAGTCTAGCTGAGGTACGCAGCCACGCCCACCACATCACAGGGATTTCGAATGTGTAAACGTAGAGATGTTTTCATTTTGAAACAAGTGTG